TTCCTGAAGTTTGGAGTCTGGCAGGAAAGCCAGGCATCGGATAGATGAGTTAAGTTGTGGTAAGGTCTATGGAGTGTATGGGTGTCTTGAGTGTCTATAACTGGGAGACTTAATCTGGATGGTGCAAAAAAAAAAAGGAAAAAAAAGCAAGAAGAAGGTAGATGTCTCCAAGAAGCAAGGAAGACCGAGGCAAAGGCCTCACCGCGGCAAGTGTTCAGCGTATTCCAAGAGTGGACGGAAGGAAGGCTGATGGGACTAAGGACCTACCATCTCAAGGGAGGAAAAAAATAAATGCAAGACCCAAAATGTGAGCCTTAGGGAAAAAGACCCACTGCCTAGTCCCATACTGATAAGGAAATTCCGCATCTATTACCTGACACTTCAGCCACCTGGGACTCCCACCCCTCATGGAAGACCCGCATCAGCATAATACTAACCTATTACCTGGCCCAGCAACTAGTCTATCACCTGGTGCATCGACTAACTTATTACCTGGTGAATCAGCATAACACTAAACCTACCGGGTTTCCCCAAAAGCAAGACCTCCCCATAAAATCAGCCCTAGCAGGATGTCTAAGCATGTGCGCAATAGAAGCCCTACCCCGAAAATAAGCCCTAGTGATGGGCGTGGCTATGCAGCGCATCTGCACAACCCATGCATGTCGTCATGGAGCAGGAAAGAACACGAGCAGCCCTTCTCATCTGCCCCGTGACAGCTCTAGTGCTCGACAGGAGAGATCGGGGCCAGTGGTTCTAAAGGAAACAGAGTCGCAAGACATTCAGGATGGGATTTGGGGTTTGGAGAGTGATGATGATGTTCCAGAAGAAGACGACTTCACTCTATTTGAATCAATGTAGATGGTTGTACCGTACTTAAAAAAAATAACACATCCCCTGAAAATAAGCCCTACTAGGGTGTCTTCTTGAGGAAAAATAAATAGAAGACCCTGTCTTATTTTCGGGGAAACACGGTATGTGCCTGGCAGCATTCCAGGAACTCAGAATTCATCGGGGTTCCCTACAATGATCCTTGCCCTGGGGAAGCGTGTGTTCTAGACTAGGCCAGCAACATTGCTGGCAGGACCCAGTGCAGATTGAAAATGTGGGGCTCCTTGTTCAAACATTACTAAAAATTCGAGAATGTGACAGCCGAGCATTCAACCAAAGTCCTTCTAGGTGCGGAGCCCCATGTGCCTGTAGGTTGCACGTCAGTATCGCTGGCCCCATTAGGAGGGAGGCAGGTAATGAACAATAATGAGTGAGCGTGCAAATGACACAGCGGGGGAGAAGGCGGCTAGTGCTATGGAGGGGAAAAGAGTGGAACAGAGCAATCGAGTTGCAGTTTCAAGCAGGGTGCTCAGAGTACAATGCACTGGAAGAATGAGGATTGAGCAGGGATCTGAGCAAAGCGAGGGTGTCAGCTGTCTGGGGTCTGGGGAGACAGTGTTGCAGGCAGGTGGCTAGCCGGAGCAAAGCCCCAAGGCAAGCAGCGTGCAAGCGTGCTGCAGCAGAGAGTGGGAAAGCAGGCAGAGAGGAAAGGAGGGGGGTGCTCAGAGCCCACTGCAAGGACTTTGACCTTTCCCTTGACATTTTAAAAGCATTGCTTTGGCCACTACAGGCAGGAGAATCTGTGGGTGAGTTAAAGGCAAAGGTGGGGAGAACTGTAAGAAGCTACCGCAGTAATCCCAGAGAGGGGGAGAAGAGAGAATGGGAATGAATGACGTCTATGAGGTTTTATTTTCATGTGTGTGTATGTATATATCATGTATACATACATGCTCCTAACTTGGAAAGATATCCACACTCTACAAGATAAAGCAGCAGTTCATAAAACAGTAAGGACTTAATGGCCCTTACTACATATCTATATGTCTATATGTCTATATATGTGGAAAAGATCAGGAATGTCTACATATATATATATATGTAGACATATATACATATATGTATCTTCTACATATATATGCATGTAGAAAAGATCAGGAATGTCTCGAACCAAGCTGTTAATAATCGTTACTTCTGTGCATCGGCATTGACATGTGGTGAAGAATGCCACTTTTCATTGTCTAGTCTCCTGAAACGCTTGAGTCTTTTGTCACAAGCATGCATCTGTCTTGCAAATTAAAAACAAACCACCACTGCTCTTCAAGATGGGGCAGCCTGGGAGAGGCTCCTTTCTTCACACTTGAACGTGGGGAAGGCCTGGCAGAGACTGGATGATGCCTAAATAGGCTTCTGGCGTTTAAGATGTGGGCAACCTCAAAAAAAAAAAAAGTGAAAATAAGACTACAAGGTTAGTGAGATGGGGATTTGCAAACGTGGAGAAAATCGGGTAAAACAGTAAATGATGGGCTGGGCGCGGTGGCTCTCACCTGTCGTCCTAGCTCTCTGGGAGGCCGAGGCGGGACGATCGCTCGAGGTCGGGAGTTGAACCAGCCTGAGCAAGAGCGAGACCCGTCTCTACTATAAAAAGAAAGAAACTAATAGGCCAACTAATATATATAGAAAAAATTAGCTGGGCATGGTGACACATGCCTGTAGTCCCAGCTACTTGGGAGGCTGAAACAGAAGGATTGCTTGAGCCCAGGAGTTGGAGGTTGCTGTGAGTGAGGCTGACGCCACGGCACTCACTCTAGCCTGGGCAACAAAGCGAGACTCTGTCTCAAAAAAAAAACAAAACAAACAAACAAACAAAAAACAGTAAATGATGACCCTAATAGAAGCAATCCAGGTACAAAGTGTTTTGCGTGTATTAACCCTTTGCACTCAGATGTTGAGTGTGACTCGACACGGTTGGCATCGGTAGCAGCAAGAGAGAAAAGCCAGCGAGTGCCAAGGGTTATTAACAAAGGTATGGCAGAAAGAAGGATGATTTAGGTTGAGAAGCAAATGAACTCTTCTAGTAAGAGGATGGGAACCCCGGGCCAGTGGACTTCAGCACTATGAGAATTCGGGTGACCTAGGATGGGTTTCAGGGTTAGGGCTGCAGCCTGGACGGCACCAGTGCCTAAGTGGGTTTCCTGCTGTCCGTGGTACTGAAGCCCAACCTTCTGCGAGCTGAGCTGGTCACCGCCACTGTCCCTAAGCACATACACACAGCTTGCTCTTCAGTGTTGTGCTGCTATTTTGAAGTCTAGAGTTTGGAAGGAACAAGGCTACCTTGGCCCTTTGTGGTGTGCAACCCTTCCATTTTGGACCACACGCCCTCGCAGCTGGGTCTGGCCCGGCCTGCACCGTGCTCCTTGTTTTTGTTTTTTTTTTTTCTGGTTAACTCCTTCTCTTCCTGCTGGCCTCAGCTGAACGATAACCTTCCTCCTCCATCTGGCTAAGTCTCTAAATTACTATCACAGGATCCTGTGCCTCTGCTTGGTTTTGGTTTATATGCATTTGAGTATCAACCCCCAGCCAACCCTAAGCTCTTGAGACCAGGATCCCGGTATTTCTAGCCCTACCTACCATGTGCCTGGCACAGAGCTGGTCTTCGATAAATGTGTTGAGGAAATGAGTAACTGACAAGCAAGCCTTGCTTATTACACAAAATAACAGCCTTTCAGAGCTCTTTTCCCTTCAAATCTACAATCCTGAGATCAAAGAGAATTTGTTGTCTGAGGGGTAAATGCCCCTAAAAGCACAGTGCTCGTAGGAGCGGTGTTTACAGCTTCCCTGCTTACAAGCTGTTACGAGGTGTGTTCCAAAATCTCTCGGATCTTACTGTGCTAGATATTCACAATGCTGATAGTTGTCGAGTCACTGTAAGAAAAATCACTTGGAGGAACTCGAAGGGCTTTTCCTTTCACAATTAGTGCAGGCAGGGCCCGGATTGCCCACCAGCAGGAAAAATCCTGATGGCTGTAACCGATTCTTAGCACATTTAGCGTGACTACTTATGGCAGGCAAAGAACTTGCATGACATGAGGGCTTTACAAACAACTTCGATAGTTGGCTAAGCCAGGGACCACTGTAGGGAAAGATACTAGGGGCCAGGCGCGGTGGCTCACGCCTGTCATCCTAGCATTCTGGGAGGCCGAGGCGGGAGGATCGCTCGAGGTCAGGAGTTCGAAACCAGCCTGAGCAAGAGCGAGACCCCGTCTCTACTATAAATAGAAAGAAATTAATTGGCCAACTAATATATATATAGAAAAAATGAGCCAGGCATGGTGGCACCATGCCTGTAGTCCCAGCTACTCAGGAGGAGGCTGAGGCAGGAGGATCGCTTGAGCCCAGGAGATTGAGGTTGCTGTGAGCTAGGCTGACGCCCCGGCACTCACTCTAGCCCGGGCAACAGAGTGAGACTTTGTCTCAAAAAAAAAAAAAAAAAAAAAAAAAAAAAGAAAAGGTTTGTGTCCTTTACTGAGGACACTTCTGATGGACTCTGAGATGGGCTAAAACACTCTGCACTTTTAGGCCCTTTACAGACAGGGGAAACTGAGGCTTCAGCAGAGGTTAAGGGTTTGCCCAAGAACCACACGGGAAATGAAGAAGCTCTGGGCTTGGCAGGGTTTGCTTGTCGGCAGGGTTCTATGCTATGCCGTGCTGCTCGAACTTCCCCGGGCGTGGGAATCGGCTGCGGATCCCGTTGGACGTTCTGCTCTGACTCTGGGCGTCTGCGGTGGGGCCTGCGGTTCTGCGTTTCTAGCCAGCCCCCCAGGGACGAGGAGGCAGCCGGTCCGCAGGCAGCACCGTGAGTAGCGAGCCCCCAGCCCGCTGCCAACGCACAGCCCCTTCCCTTTCAGCACCATAGTGTCGGGACGAGTGGAGTGAGGTGCCTTCAGCTGACCGCCTGACCCTGGGACATTTGGGACAACGGGGAGACGAGGAAGACACCAATCCAGAAGCAACCGTGGTTATGGAATGCATACACTTCCATGTATTTTGTACAGTAAAAATGCATTAAAAAATCTTTCACAAAAGAAACCTAAAAAATACAAGTAGGGTGTCGAGCCCCCCCACCCCACCCAACATTCTCTCAGGCATCCACTGCGTGATGGAGGGGAATCGGATTGATTTAAACGGTTTGATTTAATCATACAAAATACTCATCCATCATCTCTCACCAAGACATTTACATGAAGTGGGGGGTGGGAGGGGGAACGAGGAAAGTAGGCTCACAAGAATCAGTTTCCAACGCAAGGTTACAGTAGTTCGAATGAGACTAGATCGTTCTGCTCGATGCATGGTCCCTGCACAGCACGATACTGCCAAAGCAGACCCGGGGCGTGGCAATCCAGGTGAAACTGCCGGACCAAAAGTCTTCAAACAGAGACAAGCCTGGGTGGGTAGAACACGGATTTTTAAAATGTCAAATATCGTTTCTTACAAGAAAGATGTCAAGATGCTAACTTTAGGATGCAGTCCAAAGACCCACTCTGATCGCATTTATTTAAAACTCTGGACCGCCAAGGAGAGCATCAATCATTGAACATCACAGATTTTGCTAGAACTAGGGAGAAAAATCCTAGCAGAGGGGCCTTAGGAATAAAATCTCCAAGTTGGCTCTTAGGAATTTGATGCAAAATAGCGTCATAATTCAGTTGTATTCTTCCTCGGCCCTGATACACCACAGCTCAATGTATGCTTTGTATGGAAAACTTTAATAATAAAAATAGCATTCACAGACCCTTTCTGCTCCTTTTTAGCTACAGAATGTACAAATTGTGTCTTCTTCCAGGAAAGTAGCTTGTTTTATAAATGTCCACACAACTATAGCTACTCATTCTAATGTTATGTATAAACCCATAAGTCAAATAAAGCTATGAACAATGTAATATTTATATATGCATAGTGTTTTATAAAAAGATTGGCCCACATACTGCTTTTCATCAATACAGAAAGAGCATTAAGTCCATAGCACGCTGCAAGAAATAAATGAGTGAAGAACAGAGAATGCAAACAAGTGCTTAATAATTCACAAGCGTCTCACCATAGAAGAAATGATTCAAACCAACTAAAGCTTTAGAGAATTACTTATAGAGTCTCCCATTTTAAAACAACTTTACATACCTGATTTAGTTTACATTAAAATATATCCCCATGAATCAATTTGTTCCATATTCAGAAATATAAACACATATCACATTCCTCACAGCTAAATTTTTGTCATAAATTCTCTTTTATACAAGAAAAAAAGGCAACAGTTGTTGTTTTTTGTTTTTTCCAACAGGCTCTGTTAGTTACAATTTTTAACTCTGTACACACAATGATTGGCTGGTTTTCTGTCTTTTTTTTTTTTTTCATTTTTTCTATCTTTTTTTTTTTTTTTTTTTTTACAGTACCATGGGAATAACAGTGATTGACTTGCAAAGTTTTGTGTCGGTGTGGAAGGTGCAAAACAGTACTACGGAAATACACGACGCACTGTAAGCAGCGGTTTGCTGTAGTGGTCCAACAGGTACAAGCAAACGTTTTGGCTCAGCTAGGCAGTAATCCATTTCAACCGCAACCCGGGGCTGCGGCCGACCCAGCCACACCTCCTGCGGGATCAAAAAGAATGGGTCTTTGTAAAAAGAAAAACGGTTATGTTTTGTGCTGCTGTCCAAAGACTCCAAAGACGGCCAGGAGGCAGAAGTCTCCCAACCGGATCTAGAACCACTGGGATCGCTTCCTTCCTTCCTCTTCAAGCAACCTAGAGACCTCGATGATGGTTTCCAAGCCAAACTGGCATTTCTAAGAATGAGCACCCTGCCCCAACCCTCACTCCCTTAAATATCAACAGAAAGGTTCCTTCCGCCAAGGCTCATTCCCTCCTTCCCTCCTTCCCAGCTGGGCGAAGGGCAACCGTGGGCTTATGCCAAAAAGGGGGGACACACTTTCCATATAGGGACACCTGATGTGTCCCTCACATGAGCACCCTGTCCCCATTCCACCCAGTATTCAGCCTCAAATCAGACAACACAGGAGATGTTTGTTGTCCAGTTCCTTCTAGCAGGTGAGCAAAGCTGCGGTGGCCTTGCCTTAAATGAGATCTTACTACATGTTGGAGAACCTGTCTGTGCGTGGGCTGTTTGGGGGCGACAGTGGCCAACTGTCTTGTCTCTGTGCCTTCCTGGGCCAGGGCGAGCACAAACTGTCTTCTGAACCAACCAGAACTCAAGAACACCTCATTTCTTTGTGCTGTGTAGCTCAGCGATAAATACTCTTCACCTGCGATAGTAGTCTCGTCACACGGTTTGCTTCATTTCAGGGTCACTGGCGATCCTAATTCATCCCAAAGGGTCCTCGGCTTTCACAAACAGAACTTTTGCCTTTTTGCTCTTGGCTTTTAAGAAAAAACTCCTGACTACAGTATAGCACTACATCACTACATAACAGTCTCTATCAAATTAATTAAGCTTTTGATTTCCCTTCCTTAGAGAGAATGATCAACAGCCCCATTTAACCAGGAGAGGAAAAGATCGCCCAAAAAAAGGGAACCGTTTTTGACAACTCTACAGTTTACATAGAAACAAAATTTATATCCCTTTTGGGGCCAGCATTTGGCAAGTAATTTCCAAAAAAAGTATGCATTTAAAAATACTTTCTTTTACTATTATACATCAGGCACGACACTTTTTCATATATATATATATTTTTTTTTTCTTATAAGATTTCAAATGCATAAAGTGTTTGTTGCTATATTCATAGGGTCACCAGGTGTCAGACGCTTCGTTTAGGTAAGAAACTAAATAGTTATCCCGGGTTTGTGACCTTAGCCCGGTTGACACGGGTCCGGGCAGGACCGGTGTGACTGGGGGGTCTCAGATGCTAAGGTCGGTGCTACATTCTTTGTAAGGTCGCCTCCTGTGCTCCGGCGCGTGTCTGGAGCTCCTGCCGGCCTCGTGTCTCGGATGGGCGTCGTCCCTGTCCCTGTCCCTGTCCCGGGGGCCGGCTCTGTCCTCCCCGCCGCGTTTGTCCAGGGACCGCTCTCGCCTGCGGTCGCTGGACTTGGCCCTGCGCTCGGGGGACCGCGGGTCCGGTGGCCTCTCCAGGGACCGGCGCCGGCGGCCGGGCGAGCCGTCCCTGCGGCGGGTCGGGGACCGCTCGCGCCTCCGCTCGGGCCTGTCCCTCCTCTCCAGGGTGGTGTCTGCGCTGCGCGTGCCGTCCGCGCGCTTCTCCGGGGGCCGCCGCCCCGGCCCGGCGGTGGCCGTGCGCTCGGTGGCCCGCGCGTCCCTGCGCTCCGGGTCCCTGCGCTCGGTGGCCGTGCGCTCGGTGGCCGTGCGCTCGGTGGCCGTGCGCTCCGGGTCCCTGCACTCGGTGGCTGTGCGCTCCGGGTCTCTGCGCTCGGTGGCCGTGCGCTCCGGGTCCCTGCGCTCGGTGGCTGTGCGCTCCGGGTCCCTGCGCTCGGTGGCCGTGCGCTCTGCGTCCCTGCGCTCGGTGGCCGTGCGCTCCGGGTCCCTGCGCTCTGCGTCCCTGCGCGCCCCGCCGCCCGGCCGGCGACAGGCCCCGTTCCAGGTGTGGTGCTCCCGGCCGCCCCGCGCGTCCTTGCCGTGCGCCCGCCTGTCCCCACGCTGCGGGGACACGCGGGGCTCGGGGGCACAGCCGGACTCCGGGGACGCGGGTCGCCGGCGGCCGCCCGGCGCGGCCCTCACTTCCGCAACGCCTGGTGGCCCGGCGGGGCCGCCGCGCTCGCTGCTGGGGTCTGCGGGAGAGAGACAGAGCAGACGTTGGTGCCAGGCCCCGCGCCCCGTCCCCGCGCCGCCCGCCGCCCCATTAGTCACGACACACAGTTAAACAGCAGTCAGAATCAGAGCCAACGCAACCTCGGTTAATAACTGCAACTAGTTACGGTTAACAACTAGTACTTGTTTGTGGCTTTCAGGATCCGGCTGACTCTAGACTCAAGACACAGATCCTTAATAAAGACCGTGCACGATCAGTCATGAGTTTAGCCTTTAAAATCACAACCCAAATAGTCTGTCTAGAAGCATCAAAACTCCCCCCTCCCAACTCTCCCCTCTTCTCCCCTGCCCCTCTCCTCCCCCACCCCAACAAAGAAAATATTCCTTCCCCTAAAGGTTTGTTGTGCTTAAAAATAATCGGGGGTACTGGTCTGGAGGGGCAGGAGGAAGAGTCTGTGTCTCATGGGGTGGTGATTAAGTGGGCGTGCATGGAGGTGAGAAGTCTGCACTGTGTGCTCAGGATTGACGCTTTTTACTGTGTGCACGGTGGGCTGCTATTTTAAAACATAATCCAGGGTGGCCGGCACAGGGCCTTATGGAGGCGACACGCTGGCCGCTTGGTAATGACGGGCAGGTACGGTGACAGGGTCATTCAGCTGTCCTCTCTACTTCTGTGCGTGTCATTCAACTACTTTCTCTGCTTTCGTGTGAATTTACAAATAAGGAGCTGCCTGTAAAATGTGGCCCTTTCGGGGAGATCAAATGGAAGTTAGAGAGGTTGTTAGGCACACATTTGAAGTTAGATGGGGCTCAGATAAAATCCTTAAGCTTAGAGGGACTTCTCCTTTGACACACAAGGCTGCCATCATGGTATCTAGGAGCCTGGAGCCACTGGACTGAGGCTTATGGCCTCGAGCAGGGCAGCCCACGACGACGCCGCCTTCTGTTTACCATTATTAAATTGTTCGAAATGACACTGCGCGTGTTTTAGGCCGCGTCCTGAATTCAGGAGAGCTCTCTTCAAAGCAGGGAGGCTTTGTGGCCGCTAAGCCTGACAAAGTCGCTCCCACGACACCATTCCGGGAAAGGCGCCTGAAATGATCATGTCCCAGTCTGGAGATCGGACTGGCGGGACAGTCAAAACGCAGGGGCCACTGCGGCTCTTTGAGGATCTTTCATGAGGCAACGAGATCCATATTTAGCGATTTATATGTTTCATGAGTGATCTCCCCAAACCTAGGGCAGGTTTTAACAAAAAAAAAAAAAAAAAAAAAAAAAAAAAAAAAGCCTAAAGTAGGGGTCAGCAATTTTTTTTCCAAAGGGAGAGAGTAAATATTTGGGGATTTTCGGGCCAAGTGGTGTCTGTTCGACTCTATGAGTGCAGCATAAAAACACAGGCAACACATAAAAGCAGTGGGTGTGGCTATGTGCCAATCAAACTTTACTTAAGAAAAAACAGGGTGTGGACAGGACTTGGTTTGTAGTTTGCAAAGAGATAGCTGAGCCACCAGGGAATCTCATCTTCCTATCTCCCTGGATGAGAGCTCTGTGATATTTCATTCTTTCTAAGTGGGCTACTAGCGTGGACAAGAACAGGTTCTTAATATGGGTCATCTGACGATGCGGGTGAGGGAAGGTACTTATGTCAGTATTGCAAATCTAATCTTGGATTCCTTTCCTACGCTTTTAAGACGAGGGAGAGCAACACTTCAACAGGGTCGGTGGTGTACTTACAATTCCAAGAACGCAGGGTGCTCAGAATGAATTGCCAAACATACCAAAATAGAGCTAAGCAGAAGCAATGAGGAAATTAGGCCACAGCACAGAAACACCTAGTATTGATTGAGCTACAAACCGTAGTTTGATTATGGCCCATAAGGTGGAAGCAAGCCTCCCCTGGCTTTTCAATTCTCATGCATGCAGCGATATTAGGAGGTATCATTGCTGTGGGAGGGCCCAGCACCAAGAACAGTCAGAGAGAAAGAGAAAGAGAGAAAGAGAAAAAGTTGAACATTTAGATTCCCTATAACAAAGAGGAAAGAAAAAAAAATCTGCATTTGTTAACATAGGGCAAAGAGAGTTTATTTGTCCAGTCAGACAGTCTAAGGCAACACTCAAATAAGGCTGCAGAGACCGAAATCAGAACAGTGACGTTTTTAGACAATGGATGCATCCTCTTTTTTTTTTGTTTGTTTGTTTTGCTTTGTTGTGTTTCAAACAACTGGAACAATGACAGGCTGGCATAGGAGAGCATTAACAATAAACGACCAAAGAACAGAGTCCCCCCCCCCCCAAGACCGCGGCAGTTAAATTAAGTACAAAAAACTCATTACAAAAATAGCCTCACAGAGAGGCAGGTTCCAATCAAGCCAGAAAAATATTGGAACTTAACATGTTATAACCCATTTGTGACTCTGATCAATAGAATGAGATTTAGTCCAAATGACGCATGGAGACATCATAGCAGCACAGCCCTGGCACGTTCCACCCTTCTTGGAAAACCGTGGATTTAATATGATCTTTATTTTTAGCCCAAAGAACATTTGTTAGTGTCGGATTTCCATCCTCAGTGCAACAGACACAGGTTTGGAGAAGGTACACAGGTTACTGATGATGACTCTCAAATGAAAGATCTCATCCGACAGGAGCAGAGGGAAGACAGAAAAGGGAGACAATGTTACACAGTTTCGGTGGCATCCATAACACCTAACGGCCAGAAGCTCAGCACGGTGCACGGCCATGGCATCTTAACGTTGTCGCAATGTTTCCCCCTGTGCTAGGCCGTGTCTCAGGGGGCCTCGTTTGCTGCCTGCCCTCCCACCCGGTTCCTTGCACCCCTTGTACTTTGCACCTGTGCAAACCAACACGTGGGAAGGCTGCCCTTCCACTCAAGCTGCACCTGCATTAGGCATCTCGTCAGACTCCAAATGCAACCGGGGCATTGTGCAGAATGACTTTTGGAAAAGCGGGTGATCAACAGGTAAATCCCGAATAAAGGGGACCAATGTATAATGGGGACCATTCCATCACAGTTTCTATAGAAACTTTTGTAGACCTTTGGTTGGGAAAAAAAAAAAAAAAAAAAAAAAAAAAGCCCTACATCTAGGGCATAGCTTCTTTTCTTTTTTTTTTCCTTTTTTTTACATTTTAAACAAGAATCTCGAATAAATAGGACATTGTTATAATATACAAAATTTTGCCATCAGAACACTAAGCTACGTAGAGACCACTGCTGTGTACTCAAGTCGAGCCTCGAGACAGGACGAAGGAGCTCTGTGCATAACCTGGCTTCCCTCGCGTTTCCCGCAAGATGAGCATCACCATCCAAAAACATATGGCTAACACAGCGACAGTTTTTGCTCGTTTGCTTGTTCGACAGTAGTGGGCTCGGGTGGTCTGATCTGGGGGAAGAGACCAGCCGTACACAGAGCATAAAGGAGGTGAGCAGAGCCCCCCGCCCCAAATCTCTCAAAACTCCACGCCTCTTAAAATAAAGAACATCAAAGTAACCAAAAAAGAGGAAAAAAAAAAAAAAAAGAAATTGTGCCTCGACATATCACTCAGGACACCTGCTTCCCTGCTTCGTGAAAGCAGTGTGTAGTCATATATATATATGTAATTTTTGTGCTAACAGTTGGATTGGAGAAAACAGTTTGGCACAGTTCGAACAAACATTCCTTCGCTCCTGGCCGGACTAGACAAAACGTTCTCTCTGATGACCAGAAAGGGGGGCTAGAGAGACCTCGTCTCGGGCCGCGCCCCGGTCCACGTAAGCAAGCAAAAGGATGAGATGTGGAGAGTTTTCGGGACAAGCGAGGCGGATGACCACACGGTGCGCGAGGCCGGTAAGACACTGGTGAACGGGGACAGGAGGGCTTGCCCGCTGCCACTGCAGGCGGGGTCACGGGGTCATGCCAGGGAAGGAAGGAGCGTTCTCATAGTTTGACCCACCGTATTCCGGGACCGAGCCGTCTCCTCGCATCAGGAACAGGCGGACCCTGCGGCCGCCGCTCTTGATCAGCTCTATGGCCCGCGAATGCTTCATGTTTTTTGTGGTCTCGCCGTTGATCTCCAGGATTTCATCGCCAATCTGCCAGAGCGAGGGAGAACAACATAAGGTTTGAAATTCACTTACTGGCCGGGCGCGGCGCAGCCCACGCCTGTCACCCTGGCACGCTGGGGAGGCCGAGGAGGGAGGATCGCTCGAGGTCAGGAGTTCGAGGCCAGCCTGAGCGAGAGCGAGACCCCTGTGTCTCTACTATAAATAGAAAGAAATTAATCGGGCAACTAAAAATATATAGACAAAATGAGCCGGGCACGGTGGCTCGTGCCTGCAGTCCCAGCTACTCGGGAGGCTGAGGCAGGATGATCGCTTGAGCCCAGGAGTTTGAGGTTGCTGTGAGCTAGGCTGACGCCACGGCACTCACTCTAGCCTGGGCAACAAAGCAAGATTCTGTCTCAAAAAAATAAATAAATAAAAATAAAAAAAATAAAATTCACTTACTGATTCACTGAATATTTATTAATAAGCATAAGCATGTTCTGGGAAATCTTCTATTGCTTTGGCAATCAGTGAAAAAAAATCCCTGCCCCTCATGGAGATTATATTCTAATGAGCAAAAAAAGAAAAAAAAAATTAACAAAAAAATTTGAAAAATACATTCATGCCAGTGTTAACTGCTACACAAGGAAAACAAAGCAGTGAGGGGATGGTAACTGTCGTGGGAAGGAAGATGCGGGGGGTTGCTTCCAGGATGGTACCCAGTGATTTCCGATTCACACCCTGTGCAGTCTTCCCTTTGAGTGTGGGACAGACCTGGTGACTTGTTTCTAGCAAGCAGAACATGGCAAACACGGTACGATGTCAGTTCGCAGACCACGTTACGAAACGGTTTGGCATCTGTCCGACTTGCTCTCTTTCACTCTCTTACAAGTTCACTTTGATGCATGCCATGGTCTGTCCCGTGGAGTCTCATGATAAGGACATGAGGGCGGGCTCCGGCCCACAGCCCAGTAGGCACTGAGTCCTGTCAATCACCACAGGCGGGAGCTTAGAAACAAACCCTTCCCCACGTGAGCCTTCAGATGAGACCGTAATCCTGGTCGACACATTGCCTGCAGCATTTACTCCGTGTCGGCCACCCCTCAAGGCTCCGGAGATAAAGGAGTGAAAGAGACAGGCCAGATCCCTACTCAAATGGAGCTTATATTCTATAAGGAAGGACAGGAAAAGCTCCGGCTTTGGGGTCTAAAGCCCTGAATCTGAATGAATCCTATCACTTGCTAGCTAAGCAATCTTGCTCAAAGTCCTTTGACTTCCTACAGCCCACTTTCACATCTACATCTGTAGAAAGGGATGATAAAGGGTTCAAACTGGATAATATATGTCAACATGTCCTGTGAGCCATATACACCCTTGTCCAAAATATCGTGATAACAATATTTCATTCAATTAGAAACTTTAAGTGATTAAAAAAGACAAGGAAAAATAAATCCCTTGTGTTGGAAATTCAAACAAAAGACAGATACACCAATGCAATCTTCCCTTGTATATATACAAACTGTGCATATATATGCAAAAAGGAAGGACATAGAAGAAACTGATACACTGACACTGGAAACTGTATTTTTTACTATGCGCCATTTTTCACTGTTTAATTTTCTTAAACCACATTCACGGTCCACTTTCTTAATTAAAAGAAATGTTAATTCGGTCTGAAGAAAGTTAAAACATCTAGATTGTGGCGTACGCACACGTATTAAGTTCCTCGACCCTCGGTCAGTTTTCCCGTTTTGCTGCTCAATTTCATTCACTGTTTTCCTTTCCTGATCTGTCTTGATTTCTTTTACTTCGCTGCAAATGGCTCTCCCTGTGTAACAACTTAATCTCTGTGACCTGTCTATGATGAGTAGATGATTTATCTTTTCTTAATCATCTAATCTGCCCCGGAGAAGAGCACGTTCATCTACAGTAAGAGGTATCAGACAGTGAAACAGAGCAGAGCAGACTTTTTGGGATGTATGTATGTAAAATCGGCAGCTTTGCCTGCTACAGTGCGACTCCGAATGTTCCCGCCGTGGAGCCTCCTGCCCTTTCCTGAGGCAGAGGGGGCTTGCTGTGGGAGGCTGGGGTGAGACAGCTGGGCACTGGCAAGAGAATGACTGCAGTTTGAGTTAGCCACCCAGAATCTGCAGAGCCACATGGCTCTCCTGATCTCTAAGTACTCTGGGATACCCCGGCATTCCTGTGACGTGATGTACCTGCCTCATGAAACCAATCGCAAGAACTGTGGAAATGGAATTTAGAAAATATCTACTTTTAATATGTTTAGAAGTCACTTGAATCTTTCATTCAACCCCAAAGAGTTGGAAGGCCTCAGCCAACGTTAGCAGCTACAACCAACCACGCTTTAGGGGGAAACATCCGGGAGGGTGGGAGTCACGCATTTAGAGTGTCTTGAAAGCGGCAGAAAATGTAATCCTCCCGAACAGGAACATTCTAACCATGCATGTCAAGGAGTCACGGCAGTTGGCTCACTTGCATCTACTGCGGACTCTTCTCCCTACTTACCCTCATCTTTCCACACCTTTCTGCAGGACCATCTTCTGCTAAGCGCAGAACATAGAGGTCCATGTTATACTCTCGGCCCCCTCGAAGGCTGAAGCCAAATCCCTTGGCTCCTCTTTCCAGTTCCACAGTGTAAAAATCTTGCTCCTATTTGAAGAAACGAAATGCAGTCATTCTGGGAGAACTTGTAGCCACACGCATTACTCTCCTTCTCTTCCCAAACATTCTCTATTATGCTGATTTGCCAAAAGGGCACGGTCCCTATCCCCCTCTTGGTGACTCTTAATTATTTATTAATCATCTTGATTAATCTTCATTAATCTCAAGAGTTGGAGATCCAGAATTTGAAAACATTTATGAGCATGCCTATATACATAGATAGGCATGTTGTATATATATATATAGGCATGCTGTATTTAATACAATCTGCATGCATTACAATTTAATCAGAGAGACTGCATTTCACATTTGGGGCAGGAAAATTCTTCATAACATGACACCATCCCACTGACTGCTGGATGTTCAGCCTCCCTGACCCATGTCTGATAAATGCTAGCAGCACCCTTATTAGGATACCAACAACAACCTCTACAGGTGTGGAGAATGGGTCTCCTCAAGGTCAAGGAGAATCACAAATAGACTACTAAAGGCCCTGAGACAGCTAGGAAAAAAGGGACCTAGCCAGGCACTGCCTGTAGTCCCAGGTACTAGGGAGACTGAGGCAAGAGAATCATTTGCACCCAGGAGTGTGAGTCCAACCTGGGCAACACAGTGAGAACCCTGTCTCTAGGGGGAGAAAAAAACACACACACATATAAAGAAAGGAATCTGTTTAGCTTTGCATTACCCAATGTTTCTCAAATTTGTTTCACCTATCATTATTTCCACACCCTCTTTTTACCATCCTGAGGGGCAGATATTTTGCTTTGTGAGTCTCACCTGAAATTCACAAGCCTGAGAAACATCTTATCAAAAAGACAACTTTTTAAGCAGAAACACATTTATGAGTGCTATGAGTAGAGATTAGCTACTCTGCTCTTTCTCTGATCACCGATCCTTGTGACAATTACAGGTTTTCATTTTCTTTGTTTTTTCCCCTCAAAAAAGGATATCTAGGAGTATTTTTCAAAGGTAGTGAAATAAAATGTCATTTCCTTAAGCAATCACACAAGTATGTTATTTTGTAAATCCCCTCACAAAAGGATATTTCTTTTAAATCAACTTTGTTTTTAAAAATATCTTACAAAAATAGCTTCAGAAAGTTGGAAGGAAACCTGCAAAGTAGACAGAGAAAAAAAAAGAGGCATGACCCTCACCTGTGTTGATGCTTTGAACTCGAACTGAGATTCCTGCTTTGGTTTGGTGGTACTCCTGCCAAAGTGAGAGAAACAAATGTAAGGACAACCCATGGGGAAACTGAGGCAGAACCAAAGGCATCTACTGTCATGCTGGGAGTTACTCCCCCCACCTCCTTGAACGAAAGAAACCAAGGCCATGCCTGACCTCGTCTCCTGGGCCCCTTGTTGGGAAGGGGCGTGTGTGGTGGTGATGGTAGCAATCTTCTCCGCGTTGGTCAGCAAAGTGGCATTCGAGGACTCTGTAGGGAGGGACAGAGCATAAAGGAATGAAGGCCCTGAGGAAGACACCAGCTAGGAGGCATGCAGAAGCCTTGTATATCTGAAGAATAAATAAGTCTGACTTCTCTGTCACCATTTCAACAGCTTGACTCAAATTCCTAAACAGGTGGGAGTCTGATAAACCATCCCAAGATCTTCTCTGATGTGGGCCAAATATACCCCCGTGACCCTTACCTCCCCAAAAAGACATCCCCACAAATGAAATAAAGAGTTTGCAAAAGAAAACACCACTCTAAAGTTGTGGCGAAGGCAGATGTCCCTCACTCCTCCCCTGCTCCCCTAAAACACAAGTCCCATCAAAACATGGCACCACACCAGAACTATCTTCCAGAATTTTACAGGCTGATAACCAACGTCTTAGCTAATGTTGCCTGCAATTTATCGGCAATATGTAGTGAGTCTGCTTGACTTCAAGTAAATATTAAAATCGGAAGTGTGCTAACATCTTGTTAAATGCACATACATTATATCCACTTTCTTATCCATTGGTTTTAATGAAGCACGACTGAAAATATGGAACTTTTGACAGATCTCGTCTAGTATCCTTCATGAAAGATTAATCCTAAAACTTGCATTATTCAGAGCCAGAGTTTGTCAATATAAGTTGCATAAATCATGAAGCCATCCTGATGTAATGAATATGATTATATTTCTATATAAATTGACTTTCTTCTTCACTAATAACATTCATAAGCAACTTCATTAATCTCCAGAAGTTTGGAGACCCAGAATCCGAAAACACTCTTGAATAAAAAACTATAGACTGCACACTACCTTGTATGCATTAAAATTGAATCATTCATATAGTAATGGTTATATATTCTTTGCTAATAATTTCTCCATTGAGATCAAGGCAGGCAGTAACCAACTGAGCACGTTGTATTTTAATTTTAGGTTGACTGGAACTTGGCATTTTCTAATAAAGATAATGCTAAATTTAGTGTTTAGCCTCTAAGATTAGCCTATAAATGCCCATTGAATTCATAAAACACCATGAAGTCTAGAAGTTTCCAGGAGACCTAGTTCATAGTAGACATACTGTTTGTCGAATACGTATATCTACCTGTCAAGTATAATAAGGTTTCTGTAGGAAAGTATGTTAGGTACTCCAAACTGAGAAGCACATCTCTCTCCCCACTGGAGTCCTGAACAAAAGACATCCCATGAATCCCAACCAACTTGTGGTCTATCTTCCATTTTAATTTCCTAAGGATATTACTCAGCTTGGGTCTGGCTTCCTGTTATTTTTTTTTTCATTGCACGTAGTGGTTAAAAGAATGGGCTTGAGATTCAGACCTGGGCTCAAACCCCCTTTTCCTCCACTCATTAGCTACGTGCCTGATTTTTCTTATCTAGTTAAAGGGGATGATGACAATACTCCCCTTCTCATGGGTAAAAGTATATGAAATGTTTCATATAGTGCCTGCGATACAGTTAATAGTCAATACACACTTGTTATGGCCCTTGTCACTACTGTCACTTTTTATTTATTACTATGGCAATTTATATAAGTGGCTGAGACTTAAGCAAAGTTACTTAAACCTTCAGTAGCTCAGTTTTCTCATCTGCACACGGAGGATAAAACAGAATTATCTAAGGAAATCGGAACAAAGATTAAGAAGAATATGCATTTGGGATTGTACGTAAAAACTGCTCAAAAATGATTAGCATATTTTTGATAGCATGTATTATAATATTAACCCTTTGCACTCGCTTGCTTTTTTCTCCATTCCTTTATTCTACTTGGGATTTAATTTTTTAAATACCCCAGATTTTACAAAGCGTGGCAGTAGAATAAAAAACTGGAGTTCCTTTTCATACAAACTTATGGTATTTGGATTTTTTTTTATATTTCAAATTGTAGATACATTCAAAGAGTCATTTTAATCTCTATCATTTTTCACGGTGTGACATTTTTTGAAACATTCACCCACACGAAGACCTGGTTTACATGCACATGTTTCGCAAATACAGATCGTCTCTCTGCTTCCTCCTTTGATTTTTTCTGTTAGAGCAAACAACACGATCTTTGTGTTTTTTGTTAGGGTGGGGTGAGATTGTATGGAGCTTTCCATCTACACGTTGCTCTAAGTCAGTAGATAACAATCCACCCCTGGAAGTTAGTGGGCCATCTCTGAATTCTCCAACAAGATCATGTACTAGTTTCCTAATAAATTTCCACATGCGTTATCGGTTTTTCATTTTTTTTCTTTTTTGATGCATCTTTGGGAAGAAAAAAGACAAAAATCCTCCCCTCCCCCCCACCGTGGTGGCGCTACGCATCGAGTGTGGCTCGATACGCGAGCTACTACTGATGCCAACCGTGTCGGGTCACACTCGACATCTGAGTGCAAAGGCTAAAAGCATGTTACAAGTACATTTTAAGACTACCATTACAGTATAAATTTTTGTTTTCAGAGCCTTGGGAGGGACACTATTTCCTTTATGTGAGTCCCATTCGAGGGCATTAACCAGCAGGACCAAGGGGTGGATCTGAGTGGTACTTGATAAAGCTGCCCCTCTGTGTCAGTCACCGGTTGACTCGCCAGAACTTTCACAACACACGGCTGTTGCTCTTTAAACAAACTTCATCTGCTCACTGTAATTATTTTGTGGAGGCTCTCTGAGAAGTCACAAGGGTTGTTAGAAATCATAATCAGGATACTAAAAAGAATGTTACCTTGTTATTAAGGTGATTACAATTACTAAACCGTATGGAGGCTCCCCTTTGGTGTTCTGGCGTGTTGCTCTTAGCCAGAGTTTTCTAGGCAGGTCAGATCCTATTTCTGAAACAGTTTTTGTCTTTCTTTTGCTTTCGTGATGGATGAGATATGACAGAATAATCACTCCCACACATATAGAATTCCTTATTATTAATTTCCTCCTATCCTTTATTGCTATTTTTCCATTTATATATGAACTTTTCTTTGGGTTGAGCTTAACTTTTTTTTTTTAATTTTCAGCATATTATGGGGGACAGATGTTTAGGTTATGTGTGTTGCCTCCCCCCCCCCCCGGAGTCAAGACTTCAAGGTGTCCATCCCCCAGACGGGTGCACATCTCACTCATTATGTGTGTATATATCCATCCCCCCTTCCCACCTTCCCGACACCCGATAGATGTTACTCCTATATGTCCACTTAGGTGTTGATCAGTGAAACCAGTTTGCTGGTGAGTGCATGTGGTGCTTGTTTTTCCATTCTTGGGATACTTCACTTAGTAGAATGGGTCCAGCTCTATCCAGAATATACAAGGGGTGCTAGATCACCGTTGTTTCTTATAGGTAAATAGTACTCCATGGTATACATATACAACATTTTATTAATCCACTTATGTACTGATGGGCACTTGGGTTGTTTCCACATCTTTGCAATTGTGAATTGTGCTGCTATAAATATTCGAGTGCAGGTGTCTTTTTTATAGAGTGTCCTTTGTTCTTTTGGGTAGATGCCCCTAGTGGGATGCTGGATCAATGGTAGATCCACTTGTATCGCTTTGAGGTATCTCCATCTTGCTTTCCACAGAGGTTGAACTAGTTTGCAGTCCCACCAGCAGTGTAGGAGTATTCCTATCTCTCCGCATCCATGCCAACATTTATTGTTTTGGGACTTTTTTAAAAAAGGCCATTCTCACTGGAGGTAAGCGATACCTCATTATGGTTTAGATTTGCTTTTCCCTGATGATGAGAGATGTTGAGCATTTTTTCATATGTTTATTGGCCATTATTCTGTCTTCTTTTGAAAAGTTTCTGTTCAAGTCCTTTGCCCACTTTTTGATAGGGTTGTTTGATTTTTTCTTGCTGATTTTCCTGAGTTCTAACTAGTTTCTAGTTATTAGCCCTTTATTGTATGTGCAGCTTGCGAAATTTTCTCCCATTCTGTAGACTGTCTGTTTGCTCTCGTGACAGTTTCTTTGGCTGTGCAGAAGCTTTTTAATTTGATCAGGTCCCATTATTATTTTTTTGATGCTGTGATTGCCTTTGAGGTCTTCTTCATAAATTCTTTGCCTAGGCCAATGTCTGAGAAGTATTTCCAATGTTTTCCTCTGGAATTCCAATAGTTTCACACCTTAGGTTTAAGTCTGTTAACCAGTGTGTGTTGATTTTTGTGAGAGATGAAAGGTGTGGGTCCTGTTTGTCTTCTCCATGTGGCTATCTAGTTTTCACAGCACCATTGATTGAATAAGGATTCTTTTCCCCAGTGTATGTTTTTGTCTGTTTTGTCAAAGATTAGATGGCTATATGAGGATTATTTTATATCTGGATTCTCTGTTCTGTTCCACTGGTCAATGTCCCTGTTCTTGTGCCAGTTCAAAGTTGTTTTAATTACTATAGCCTTGTAGTATAGTTTGAAGTCTGGTAAATTGATATCTCCCATTTTGTTTTTATTGCCTAGGATTGCTTTTGCTATACAGGGTCTTCTCTGGTTCCATACGAAGCATAAAATTATTTTTTCTATATCTGTGAAAAATGATGATGGTATTTTAATAGGGATTGCGTTGACTCTATAGGTCACTTTGGGTAGTATAGACATTTTAACAATGTTGATTCTGTCGATCCATGAGCATGATATGGTCTTCTACTTGTTTACATCCTCTGCTATTTCCTTCTTCAGTGTTTCATAGTTCTCCCTGTAGAGGTCTTTTACCTCCTTAGTTAAATATATTCCTAGATACTTTATTTTCTTTGTTGCTATTTTGAAGGAAATTGAGTCTTTGATTTGGTTCTCAGTTTCACTGTTATTGGCGTATATGAATGCCTCTGATTTGTGTGTATTGATTTTGTATCTTGAGACTTTACTAAATTCATTTATCAATTCAAGGAGTCTCTTGGTTGAATCCTTGGGATTTTCTAGCTATAATATGTTATCAGCAAAGAGTGAGAGTTTGATCTCTTCTGCCCCCATTTAGATGCCCATAATTTCACTCTCTTGTCTGATTGCTATCCCAAGGACTTCCAGCA